CGACTGTTCATGAAGCGTTCATGAAGCTGAGCTTTATCGTACGATACGAACCAGTGGTTGGTGTGTAGTGCAAATTTCATCGACACTGCGTTGTATGAAGGCGTCTTTTTTTCCCCGATATTCGGTGCAATTATGGTTTTGTTTTGTACATGAATATTTTGTTATCTTTTAGCAACTGTTTTACCCAAAATGGCGAATTTGCCTCTTTTTCCGTGTCGTTTGTATGGTTTCATTAGGCATATCGCGAAATTTTGATGCGTTCACTTAATCAAACTCTATGCATTAGGGATTGGGTTTGGATTTTAAAGCATTTTTGGCGTCTGAATGAAGAATAAGTCATGAAGAGCATGGATTGCAGACTTTTTTGGTTGCCTTTTGCCAAATGAATGCTCTGCAATGGAACGCGTACCCCCTTTGAGACAAAATCAGAGGTTGACCCTCCTATACAGCATTTTCCTCCATGTTTGGCTCTAGCAACACGTGCAATCATGGTTACCTTCGTCAACCAATCATCTTTGAACGGACTAGACTAGAAGATTCTCCTGCTTTCCGATTGGTCAAAATATGCAGTTATTCTAGAACATTCGGAAGAATGTTTATAAGCGTTGATTTTCCGATGTATGTCACCTTCGTTTTTGTGTGTTCGTTGCAATGGCTACGCAGAACGATACGGATGTGACGATGGCGCAGGAGGTTGAGACCTTTGCCTTTCAGGCGGAGATTGCTCAGCTGATGAGCCTTATCATCAATACCTTTTATTCGAATAAGGAGATTTTCCTCAGAGAGTTGATTTCAAACGGGTCTGACGCCCTGGATAAGATTCGTTACAAGAGCCTAACAGAGCCCTCGGTCCTCGATACTGAACCAGAGCTCTGCATTAAGGTGGGTGTAAATTTTGGGTTTTGCTTGGTTTATTACTTATTCAGAAACTGAACTGCCATCGTTCTTGCAGATTATTCCCAACAAAGCGGAGAGCACGCTGACGATAATTGATACCGGTATTGGGATGACGAAGGCGGATTTGGTGAACAACCTCGGTACCATCGCACGATCTGGAACCAAGGCGTTCATGGAAGCGTTGAACGCGGGTGCGGATATCTCTATGATTGGACAGTTTGGCGTCGGTTTCTATTCCGCGTACCTCGTGGCGGACAAAGTTCAAGTTATTTCTAAGAATAATGACGATGAACAATATTTGTGGGAGTCATCAGCTGGTGGCTCTTTCACCATCCGTCCGTGCAGTGAAGAGCCTCTGGGTCGCGGTACCAAGGTGGTTCTGCACATTAAGGAGGATCAGTCGGAGTATTTGGAGGAGCGCCGCATCAAGGAGGTTATTAAGAAGCACTCTCAATTTATCAGTTATCCTATCAAACTTTTCGTGGAAAAAGAACGAACTAAGGAGGTCTCAGATGATGAGGAGGAGGAGGAAGTGAAGGAGGGCGAGAAGGCAGATGAGGAGAAACCCGAAGTGGAAGACCTCGATGAAGAGGAATCCGAGGAGGAGGGCGGAGAAGCGGCCGGAGAGAAGGCCGAGAAGAAGAAAAAGAAGAAGAAGAAGCAGATTAAGGAGAAGTACATCGATGAGGAGGAGCTGAATAAGACCAAGCCTCTGTGGACCAGGAACCCGGAGGATATTACGCAAGAGGAGTATGGGGAGTTCTATAAGTCGCTGAGTAACGATTGGGAAGATCATCTGGCCGTCAAACACTTCTCAATCGAAGGCCAGCTGGAGTTCCGTGCTTTGTTGTTTGTGCCAAAGCGTGCTCCATTTGACTTATTCGAGAACAGGAAGAAGCGAAACAATATTAAGTTGTATGTCAGGCGTGTGTTCATCATGGACAATTGTGAAGATCTTATTCCGGAGTACCTAAACTTCATCCGTGGTGTCGTGGACTCGGAAGACCTGCCTCTTAATATTAGCCGAGAAATGCTTCAGCAGAACAAGATTTTGAAAGTAATTCGAAAGAATTTAGTCAAGAAGTGTATGGAATTGTTTGAAGAACTGGCGGAGGACTCTGAGACCTATAAGAAATTCTACGAACAATTCTCGAAGAACATTAAGCTTGGAATTCATGAAGACAGTACAAATCGCAAGAAGTTGTCTGAGCTGTTGCGGTACTATTCATCTCAAAGTGGTGATGAGATGACTAGTCTCAAGGACTACGTTTCTCGCATGAAGGAGCACCAGAAAGACATATATTATATCACTGGTGAGAGTAAGGAGAGTCTTGCAAACTCCGCCTTCATTGAGGTGTTGAAAAAGCGTGGACTTGAGGTACTGTACATGGTGGACCCAATCGATGAGTATGCAGTGCCACAGCTGCGTGAGTATGATGGGAAAAAGTTGGTTTGTGTGACTAAGGAGGGTCTTGAACTCCCTGAAGATGATGAGGAGAAGAAAAGGTTTGAAGAAGTTAAGGCCTCATTTGAGCCGACTTGCAAGAAGATAAAGGACATCTTGGGAAACAAGGTTGAGAAGGTTACGGTGTCAAACAGATTGACTACGTCTCCCTGTTGTATTGTCACTTCCACATTCGGCTGGTCTGCTAACATGGAGCGCATTATGAAGGCCCAGGCCTTACGCGATTCTAGCACGATGGGTTACATGTCCGCCAAAAAGCATTTGGAGATAAATCCGGAGCACAAGGTTATGATCCGTCTCAAAGAGATGCTGTCGGCTGAGGGTGAACCGAACAAGATTTGCAAGGATTTAATTAATATGCTTTTCAGCACAGCTCTGCTGGCCTCTGGATTTACTTTGGAGGATCCAAAGGCACACGCCAACAAAATTCATGAGCTAATAAGTATGTGTTTGGAAATTCCAGAGGACGAGACGATGAAAGAAGAGGATAAGGCTACTACTCCTAACGACGCCGCCGCACCTGTCGAGGCTGGTGATGATAATGCAGCTATGGAAGAAGTCGATTAAATTTTTTGTTGTTCTCTGTGTGTGTATATGTAATATACGTTATTAAACCTATTCGTCCCATAAGGAATTCGAAATTTCACGCTGGTAGGTGGCTCGTCACTGTTGCATGACATCAACGGGAAAAGAGGGTTATGGAGCGCTCTGGTTCAGTGAGCGCAATCAAGCGGGTCCGAAACTTGGTTAAATTTGCATACCAACCACTGGTTCGTATCGTACGATAAAGCTCAGCTTCATGAACGCTTCATGAACAGTCGAGGTGTGGAAATCGAAGGTGGCAATTATTTTGGGGGAGCAGCAATGGGACTGTGGTAATAGTGAGTCCATTCGGAGGATAGGTACGAGAGCTTGTGGTGCTGACTCACGCGGGCTTCTAGAATGTTCGCTGCGCGCCTAGAGTGCGTGCATGCACACCAACGACGTTGTGCCAGAAGGGCTTGGCTCAGTGCAGACTTTCGTAAACACAAGGCTTAGTCGAACTGCTGTGGGTCTCCTCTAGTGCGCGACAGAGATGAGTACCTGGAGAATGTTAATTAGGCAGTCGATTGTGCTGCATTTTGGGAAGGGGCTGTGGGGAGGGATTAGGTCCGAGTCGTATAATTTGAACGACATCCATATGGGTAGATGGTGTGTCCATCGCCGCATTCGTTGTGGCAAAATTGTACCACTCCCTTCGCTCGGTGTACACCACGATGACACCAGATTCTGTCGCCATGGCAGAGGATTATAAAAAGATAGCTTCTTAGTGCCAGCGTTACTTTATCCGTGAATTGCCAAATTATGGATATTACTTCAACTCTAGGTAGTCGATTCGACAGGTTAGAAGTTGATTCAAATGCAAACGATTCCTAACACCCTATGCGCGTCGTGCGATCGTAAGTCTGTGACCCAGAGGATCTTGCTTTGATGGCACCTTTTAGCACCCCCTAGTAAGAGGTCTCGGGGAGATTTAAAATCGTGATTGTTCAAGATGTGATTACAGGGAAATCGATCCAATGTGGACGACCTGTGAACTCCACTCACCAATCGATACTGCTGGGTAGTGAGTCCAGCCAGTGCAGAAAGCGGACCAGCTTGGAGCATGGTAATGGGACCGAATCAACTCACTCCTCTTCCGCTGATAGGCCCTTCCCCACCCCCTCTTTACACATTATTTATGCGTGCCTGGTTGTTGTGAATGGGAAAATGATTGCAATTTGTCAAGTTGTGATGATTTGAGCATTGCATCGTACACGACAAAGTTAGCGTGACGATTGAACGACTTGGTGCACTCCAAAAGCGTTTATACGCGTAAATGTGAGTCTGTGTCGTTGCTGTCGCGAGTGCAGCCAATGCACACCTCAGCAAAGATGGTGCGCTCGGTTGAATTGGCTAATTAAGACATTACGATATACCCCTAGTATTTTGAGAGTTTGAAAAGCACACTGCTGCATCTAGGGCGCTAGGGGGTGGCTACACAGTCTCACTCTATGCCCTTATTATCGGTCCGCCCGATCGATGAAACGAGACTATCATCTCAATCAGGCACAATGCCCTCACCTCGAATGAGCAACAGCGGCGAGGTCTACGAGATCAAATCGTGATTACGCGAATCGCACGTGACGTGAACAAAACTCACGAGGTTAGATGACTCACGCTGTGTCAATAGTGGCAAAAAATAGAGGCATGGCGACACACCTGACGCAAGTGCAAACATTCTGAAGCCATCAAGGCTGCTCTCCATAACCTCCCAACTGCGACACAAAGGTCACAAAATTGGCGCCGCTAAGGGTAGGAAACGAGCGTCCAGCTGAAGCCTCTCACCAACAGGGCGTATTTTAAAATGAGGTGCGGAAGAAGGAGACCATTCCGTTGGAGGGTGAAATCCTTCCAACTTGGTGGCGTGGACGGGGGAACAGTCGCCTTAAGTAACGGCAGGCCTGAGATGTGTGTGTTGAATTTGTGCAGTTTTAGTCGTAAATTCGTGAACCCGGTCACCGTCAATGTACGCGTGTTTGTAGAACATTCTAGCGGGGGTCAGAGGAAGATTGTTTCAGCACGCTATTGTACGTGACGAAACACCCAGAACGACTCCATCTTCTTCTCACATGGCTGTAAATCAACTTCGAGATGGTATGCGTTAGTTGCTGCTGTGCTTGTCGAATACACCGTTTTGAGGGTAGTTTGCACAACTTGGACATTGATGAACCAAATGACATTGTGAGGATGTTTCCACCTCAAAACGATCCACTTCGGTGGCTTAAACAACCAATTCATCGAAGGGGTCAGCGACCCTGTGGATACAAGTAACAAGGAAAATGATAGTTGCATTTGATCAATGTTATGCATGAGATTGTATTTGCAGCCTACTAGAAGCAGACCATTCTACGAATTGTGAGGTTAACTGAACCGATTTCGGTGTTGGAAATGAGGCATAAACTTATTCCCGGGCATTCAGTTAAAGGATGAAAGGTTATGGACCACGTAGAGCCATCTACAGAGGACAGGTGCTCCCTGCTTTGGAATGGCGAGAAGCTTATCTCTAGCCCCATATCAGTGGCGATGTTGATGGTACTCCTCGACATAGCCAATGGTGAGGTACAAAGACAGGAGAAATTTGAATGCGGATGTAAGGGTTTGCTGAAAATGGGTAGACAGCGGTAGTGTATCGTAGGAACGCTCACTGTTTTGATAGATTTGATTGCATAAAGCGTGATTGGCTTTAGTAGTGTGAAAGAGGTCATGCAACATGCGCATCACACGAACGGAATGTTCTGGAAGTACCCACATGCATGCCCACACCAGCATTCAGCAGGGTTAAGGAGCTAGATGTGATTTGGGTGATGGTGGAACGCTTTACAAGCAGGGTTAAGGAGCTAGATGTGATTTGGGTGATGGTGGAACACTTTACATTTGACATGGAATTGCACACGTGTTGGTGCCAATTATCCACTTGCCCGACCCTCCAAGTCGTATTGTTTTATCATTAACCAATATGTTGCCGAGGTCACAAACAGCGCCTGGTGTGCTAAATGTAGTTACGTGGCTAGGTGAGAGAGAAATTGGTAGAGGTTATTGTCACATTCCCGATGATTAGCACAAAGCGACATCTGGCATACTGGTTGAGTGAAAATGACCATCGCAAGGTGAGATGGTGCACCTAACGTGTAAAGGTGGAGGAGGTGGAAGCAAGAATTATAACTAAATGTGACCAGCCGTCTGATTTTCAACCGCAGTATGGACTTGATTGCTGACCACAGTTACGAACACTCATTCCGCTTCCAACACCTAATGCAACGGCATACGGCAGAAGGGGAGCACCAACTAATAGTAGCCAGAGTGACAACCTAGTGACCACAGACAATGCAGGCAAGCAAGCCGCTAACCTCCCAAGTTGACTCTGAAACCTAACTACCGCTCGGCGGTCTCCATTACTTCAATTCCGCTCTTCGATCGATCTCCCCGTCTCAGAGTAACACGCCTTGGTGAAGGAGAGGGGGAGGGATCGTGCCACTCAAGTTAGACAATTAGACAGTATAGTATAGAGGCAAGGCGGTTGCCAATCGAGAGTAAATGAATTAGCATTTAGCATTTAGCATTTAGTGCTTTAGTGCACTTGCACTTCCACATTTCTACCACCTCAATGGAAGGTCACCGATGCCTCTGAATCAAATGAAGGCAATGAGGCAAGCAGCGGAGGCATGACCATCCGCCACGCGCCACGCGCCACGCGCCATGACGCATGTTCACGCGGCGGGATGCAGAGTGCGTCAGTGCGTTCGGGCAGACCGTGGCTAGCCAATGCTCAAGAAGCACGGCACAAATTCAGGTGTTGATTGGATAGGAACATTCTAGACTCATGTACGCATCGCTGAAATGTTCTGGAAGGTCGCCTACACATAAGTATAAAGCGTGGCGTCGACGTGTTTATTCGACTTCGGTGATATTTGTGCTTGCGCTCTTTGGTTTGTGACGTGAAGTGATGTCGAAAGGACCGGCTGTGGGTATTGATTTGGGAACGACGTTCTCATGTGTGGGTGTGTT